GCATTTGAGCTTTAGTCCCTTAGAGAATATCTGGATATGTTAAACACTGTCCTGTATATATTAAAAGTAGACAGTGTCTTGACATAAATCTGTGTGAGTCCAAGTTTAGAATTGTACTGGAAAGCCAATTTTGTGCCGCAGGATTCTGTGGAGAACTATTTGATGAAAACAGTTGTTCTTTTTGCTGGCTTTTGCGTTTTTCTTCACTAACATAACTCGAGGTATTTTACCCGATTATACATCACAGTGTTTACAGCACTGAGAAAAATCTGCGTTACAGCCACTACAGATGCCTTTCACATTAATTCACACTGTTTTCAATCACAGTGCACTTAGTAGAGGTATTTCAAGTATCCATCTGTAAGTCATGGAATTATGAGTCATCACATAATGCAGTGGCAAAAGACAGACATGCACGTGTGAAACAGCCCTTTCAAAAGAACTTTTTAACAGTGCAGGCAGTGCTTCACTAATTGTTATCAACTACTTGGATATGCTCCAATCTGTGTCTCTTAGTGACACAGCTCCATATGGTGGTCTTGAGTGCACTTTAGTATATTCAAATTGAACCAGATGCATTGATTTTAATTGGCTGACCAATAATTGTGATGACTGGAAGAGAGGACACATTCTACTATTCCTAAAACTCAACAAGGTTAGTATGCAAGATGTCACTAAAAGGTAGGCACACAAGAAATGTACTTCTGTAAAATATTTATATCTACAGCCAATCACTTCTCCCTTAAAGCAACCAATTAGTTTTATGTGCAATGTATACAGCATTACTGGTACTATTTATGAAAGCTGCAAAGAATGCAGTAAAACGGTTTGACATTGTGTGTAAAATCTGAGAAAAAGACTTGATCATGTATTGCATAATTAATAATGGAGAGCCTCCAAAATACAATACGTAAAAAAGAACATCAGATTACTTGTAACATTACATGCTGTAATTTAATGCAGTCTCTTATTTGCAGATCTGTGAGATCTCTAGTTTTTGGCCAAAAAAAGAGAGGTCTACATGGCAGTTAGATTAGGCATCCTTCAGTCAAGAGCCTATGGTAACACAGGCATCCTTCAGTCGAGAGACTATGGTAACATGGCAGTAATAATGCACCAAAGTCTTTAGAGCTGTAATCATATACTGTACCTGCTTGCCAGGTAACATGCCCCACTGAATTCAGTGGACAACTTCTTGGTAGACAGGTATAGGATTGTGCTGTCAAGCTCTTTTTCACTTGCTTTACTGCATACATAAGCAAGTGACTGTCCACTCCAAAGAAAAATCTATAGCCTAGGGCCAGAACTGAAAATATTAACTGAAATTTGGTATTTTATTACATTCAACTAGAGTCCTTCTCCACTTCTTTCCTAATCTGAAAAGAAATTTCTGATGTGGTATAACATACAAGTCCAAATCTTCCCTGGAGAAATGACGTTAGGTTGCATAGTTCTTTGAATACTGTCTTTAACATCTACAATAGGATTTTTGTGTGATTTCTCAAAGTGTGCTTGCAAAGGAGAGCTTAGTCTGCAGAGTTATCTCTCATGTGAAAGCTTTGATGTTAACTAGCCCTTATTTGTAGTAGGAAACCAGTGGAACTACACTGGAATTTCACAGTTCAGTAGCTTTGTGAGGCTGAGTTTATTAATTTCAGTACAAGTTTTTGCCAAATGGTTAGGCTCCAGTGATTTCATAGTCAGCTTGCTTGCAACCAAGAAGAAGTTACTCAGGTTGTGTAGAGATAATCTGAAGGAAGTGATTTTTAAAAGAAAACAGAGTGCATGTTACTTTCTGAAGGCATACAGTTTTTTTCTGGATGTATTTCCAAATAACAGGGCAGGGACCAAAAATGCCCCCCCCCCCTGCAACAGCAAATACAAGAGGGGGCCTGTATGGTCTCCTGGAAGTTTTGAAGGCAACACAGAACAAATATGTCTGCTATTTTGTTTCATCCTGAATGAAATAATCATATTGCTAGTAAAACAGTAACATTGTTATGCAATCAGTTCATACTGTTCCAAATTTCCCAGACTGCAAGTCCAAAACAATATTGTTTGTAATGAAAATTCTTTAAGTGTACAACTGAGAGTATTATAATCACTACTAGCTATGCAACCTTCAGAGCTGATTTTGGAGAAGTACTTTCATATGCGCAAAACAAGGTGTTTAGTGCAGAGGTACAATCAAGGAGTTCACCAAGGAAGGTGCAAAGCCTTAAAAGACAGACTCTAGACTGTCTCCCCTTCTTCCATCTTTTGCAGCAAGCAGAAATATATGTATATGCATAAAATCAAGGGGCCAACTTAGCATGTGAAAATAAGTGGTTTTTTTTTTAAGTCTATGAAGCTCAGAGTGAAAGTTCATAATAAAAAAACCCTGGTTCTTTACAGCATGGATTCTGACGCTGAGGAAATAAAGTTACGGCACAGCTTTCTTTTCAAGTAGTAGTCTTAAGTAGTAAACCATGCTTAGGTTAAATGCATCTGTATTGCGTAGACTGCTCCCTTCCTCACTACTGTTGGTGAAAAATCAAGGTGGCAGAGAGTGTAGTCTCCGTCCCTGCCCCTCAGTTTGCTGTGCGACATCTTTATTAGTAACTAACCATCAGGTTCTCTACCAGCTGATCATTTTGGCTTTTATTATCATTGGTTGATTTCAGTAAAGGTTTTCCCCAAGTATACTTTGGAGGTCAATTTCTGTGGGTGAAACAGTTAACTTGCAGAATGCAGGGATGCTTCTGCAAGAGTGGTTGGTTGCTTTTTAGCTTAATGAGCAAACCTGTGCACTGCATGTTAAGTAGTTTAAATGCTTTCCTCTTGGATCAGTAACTAATGGTTTCTTTATTGATTATCATCATTCTCATTGTTCAAATAGCTATTTATTTGCATATTCATAAGTAAGAGTATTGATTTCCATAAGGAAGCTGTTCGTTTTGTTCATAAACAATGTAAATGAAGGAATTACTTCATAGGTTTTTAATCAAGATTCCAATTATATCTACTCCAGTTTTTTAAAAATCATATTTGCAATGCAAGTTCATTAGTTATTAAAAAGCCCTGGTATAATTCTAATAAAGAACGCCACAAAATGCCATGCACTTATTTTTTAAACCTACGCAAAGGAAACCATGCGTTATCCAAAGTAGTAATATATGTTCCACAAGCTACTGGATGTATAAATTTCATCTGTTTAGGCAGCAAACCAATCATCTATGGCTATGCATTGTGGTCATATATTTATTTGCACTGCTTTATATGCAGAAGTACACAATAAATCCTTGAAACAGAACCAAGTTTTGTTTCAAACTCTACTTTCCCTTAAGCTATATAATATATAAAAATTTTATTATTTTATGCTTAGCATTTTTTTAATTGAAACACTGCCTTGGAATCAAATGTGGCCAAAATACTGTGAAATCACATGATGTGATTTCTAGCTAGTAGTTTTTCATCCAGAATCTTGACATTAACCTTGATACATGCAGTATCTGAGAACAAAATGTAAATATGGATGCAGAAATATATATTAAAACACATCCCAAGTTATGGGTGCACTAGGCTTTCTGTGTATCCTTTTGCTTTGCAGAGATATTTTATAAGCCCTGTGTGGGAACATTAACAAAGCTTTATTCCAAAACTGGGACAGGATGAGAAATGGAACCATCCGAACTTCCTAGTCCGAGTTCCTAATGAGTTAATGAGTTAAATACTCCCTCCCTCTTTGCTTATGTACGATTTAAGTTGTATAGACAGACAAGGTCGAATTTAAACCGCTTCACTGCCTAGCCGAGCTTCGTAGTCTGAGGAGGAGAGCTGTGGTGGTTCCTGTGGGACAGACCTTTTGAGAGGCTACTACACCGACCCCGGATTTTGTTCCAGGGCTTTCCAGAGTGCCAAGAATGGCGGGCAGTCATTCCTTCCCACCCCCTCCACGCAGCCTCCCTCGCTTCAATCCCTTGTTGCCCCATTATTATTGCTGGAGCTCGCGCTAGCGTTTTAGGATGGGGTGGGGGGAGCGGCGGAGGTCACCGCCGAGGGTTTTTTATTCGGGTGTGGGAAGACGTCAAGCCGGCAACCCCCGTCAGCATGAGCCAGCAGGACGCCAAGTCCCGAAGCCGACGGCTCCGTTGACTTTGGAGCGTGGCGTGCGCTACTGCCCTTTTGTGTCTCGTTTGCCTGATGCAGTTTCACGGGGGCTACCTAGGCAAAAGGGGGGGGGGCGGCGGCACAGAAGGGCACCGTGAAATCCTGACTTCTGGCTCCCCCCCCGCCTCCACACCAACTCAGTTCCCTCAAAAATAAAATTAAAAAATCCAACACCTCCCCAACCCCACAGCATACGCATATGTATCTGTGCGTGAGAGGTACTCCACTGCACTGCAAGTTGCTGTTGGCTGGTAGTGCTCTCCATTATCATGCAGATCTGAGGTAGATCTAATTACAGTCTCCATCGGCGGGGAGAGGGAGGGGCGGAATGTGGCGGGAGGGGGGGCACATATGCTTCCGAACCAGCAACCTGGATTAGTTAGTTGGGAATAATCCCCGGCGGTGAAGGGAGGGAGGGCAGCGACACCCAACCCCGGAGCAGCTTCCCCCAAGTACGGGTGACCCACGCTCGGTGCGGTTCTAGAACGACGGGACGCGAGGACATGTGGCCGGGTCTTCGCCTCACGCCCGCCGCTCCCGCCTGAAACTTAGAAGATGCCATCTCCTTTGCAGGCAGCCACGCACTATTGCATAACGCGACCCACACACACTCCCCCCCCCCCCGCCGTCCTTTAAAATTTACGGTTCTCATATTTGCTCACACTTTTTTCCCCTGTGAAGTTTTTTAATTAGGCAGCCATGGTAACTCCCAATATGTCACGCAGCCTCTTGCCAAGCGAGACGCCGAGAGGCTCCTCAGGCAGCCCGAATCTTTTCCCTCGGAGATGTGGTGGGGTAGCTCCGGCGGCCTTCGCCCCACAATCCGGGCTGCTTTGCAGCGCGGCGCTTACCTGACTGGGCGCCCTTACAAATAAGTAAAGGTCTGTGCCGTTCCTTGGCGCTGATGCATGTCGCCCGCCTGACTTCTGCAAGCTTGCAGGGCAACGATCCACTCTTGTAAGCGCATCTGCCGCCAGATAAAGACCAAAAGGGGGTTTCCTTTTCGTTTCGATTTGTTTTAAATGCTTGTTTCCCGGAGACTTGGTTAGGCACCGCGGCCGAACCCCCCTCCTTTCCCTTCCCCTCCCGCAGCTGTTCCTCTTCTTCCTCCGGTTAGATTTCGCAGCGAAACATTCATTCAACCGTGACGAGTTGAGGCAATGGTCAGAGTAACAGCAGAAGCCACGCAGTCCTCAATATGTCCTCATTCACGGCAATTGCCTTCAATGAGATCTCAGAGCCGATTTCTTTTTTTTTTTCCTTTTTAAATAAATCGATCAATAAATAAAGGGGAAGGGAAGCTGCGATGGGGCGCAAGGCGGAGAGGAAAGGGCTGGCGGCGGAGAGGCTTTCAGCAGCCCCCGCTGAAAACCTGGCTTCCCGAGCTGTACACTTTGAAGCATCCTCTGTAGTCCTTCCCGTCTTGCAGGCAGAGCCTTCGGGCAAGCTGAATTCCCTCCTACTTTGGGGAATGCACGAGAGGCAAGGAAGGAGAGCGCGCGCTGTTTTGCTGGCGCCTGGTGAGGGTGAGCGAGCGAGAGTGTCTCGCTCTTTCTCTGTGTGTGTGTGTATGTGTGTGCGTGCGCGCGCGCGCATCTCGCCGGAGAGAGAGAAAAGACGGGGAACTGGCGCTGGTTCTCCGCTAGGGAGAGTGCGCGTGTTCCCTCGAAGGCAGGCGAGGCAAGAGAGAGAGAGAGAGGGCTGCGACCTGGAACTTCGGGAGTTTAGCCGGCAGCAGCCCTTCAAACAAGGGGATCTCCTGAGAGGAGAGCTTAGGATAGCAGGGGGAAAGAAGGAAGGGAGACGTGTAGGCTCCGGGACCACCTCGGAAATGGGGAAGAAGGGAGGGAGATTGGGGGAGGAGAGAGGAGATGGTTCACCCAGGATGACTCCTGCCTGACTTAAAAAAAAAGTTTGTCATTACATATAAATATATTCTCTGGCTCTCTTTTAAATCCTCTCTGTGTGGATGCCTATATATACTGAGGCAGAACTAGAAGAATTGAGTTAGCATTTTTAATTTATAACTTGAACATGCTTTTTTTTAAATTCAAAGAGCAAAGATACCCGCCACTGATTATTTATTTATTTGTTTGCTAAAACTTTGGGCTGGAAATTTACCTGGATGATACAATGTGATCTGTCCTCATCCGAGGTACAAGGGTGAGATACACGATGAGCAACTGCTGTGTTTTCTCACTTACAGTCTTTTGCGCTTAGGGATTCTTTACCATCAGTTGTAGATACAAAGTCCAACAGAAACATGGGAATATGTCCCATTTTATATATGTCTTGTGAAAGATGTGGTTGAGAATAGGGTCGAGAACAAAAGCTCTCCAAATTAGTAGGGTACATAATTCTACAAAGCAAATTCTGTACTCCTAGGGAAAATAATATTTACTTAGGGGTATGTCTGGCTGAATTCAGTTGGACTTCTAGTGAGCAGCCTTAGAATTACAGTCTTTGTATTATTACTACAGGTATGGATTTGAGTGTGCCACATTGCACATTTTTAATGAATTGGCAAGATTAGTTATATGTCTGCAGATATTTATTCTAATTGTGAAATGCAAGCTATTTGGTTGCTTAAAACATGTACGTGTGTGAATTTTATTAGAAACCTTGTTTGTACCTAAGGTTAGTTTTTTCCATGCATGTATAGTAGGATGTGGTGAAGGTGTTGATTGATAATGGTTTGGATGCACAAAATACAGAGATTATTGGGCCTGCGTCTTTTAAGATTAAGTTAACAATTTATGTCTCAATTTGTTCTCCAGGAGCACAGGGTAGGATTAGTACTATTACTAACTTTCATGCAAAAAGGCATCTTTCTTCTTTGCTCTATTGCCAACCAGTAGTCTCCTATGCAGTGGAAGCTACTAAATAGGATGGCTAAATAAGTGTGGAACTGAATGGCTACTTTTTGCCTGGTTACTGATTAAAAATATATTCCATCTTATCTTTAACCATATGAAGAGCTGATTATCTGCTGATCCCCATCTACATATAAGTTAAGGATAACTAGGCTGCTGTATCTTCAGTGGCTCTTAGGTCAGTGGTTCCAATCTTGGGTCACCAGATGTTCTTAGACTAAAATTCCCAGGAGCCTTCATCCATAGCTGTTTTGGCTAGGATTTCTTAGAGCTGCAGTCTGATAACATCTGAGGCGCCAAGACTGGGAACCATTAGCTTAGGTGACCATATGACTGGAGTCTATAGGTGACATTAATATTATTTCCCCCAAATAATCTGTCTGTCAACTTTAAATCAAGACTGTGACTTCGGAAAATGTAATGGGCAGTTGCCTACATCTCAACTAGTCCTCTCTTCATTGAGGATGGAGAGACTTCATTACGTGTGCATTCCAGCAAATTGTAACTTAACTGATTTTTGTTTGTTTGTTTCACTGAACATACAATGTCATGTAGCTATGGAGACACATATGATTAATACACAAGGCCAGACTTTTGAAACTGGCCAGTTTATAGGTTTAGGACCTTGGTATTTGGCGGAACGCCTGCTCCCACCAAGATCTACCCGGATCACCCGTGCGAGTCAGGAGGTGAGGCTGAGGAGCCTGATGCCGAGAGAGGCCCGGAAGGAGAAGACACGAAACCGGGCCTTCTCGGCGGTGGCTCCTCACCTATGGAACAACCTCCCTCTGGAGATTCGCACAGCACCTACGCTGGGAATCTTTAAAACCCAATTAAAAACATGGTTATACATCCAGGCCTTCCCTCCAGTCAATACCTGATTTCTTTCTATTTTACTTTATTTTTTTTCTTCTACTTTATTACAATTGTTATTGAACGACTATGCACATTCTTGAGTTTATTGTTTTATCCTATATTGTAAGCCGCCTAGAATGGATGAGTAGTCCAGATAGGCAGGGTATAAATCAAATAAATAAATAAATAAAATAATATGTTGGGAAAAAGTGTGTTCAATGTTGGGCATATGAGCAGTTTCAACCCTTTGGCAGGGTGTCCATTGTGAGACTGGTTACACAATGGTTGCAAAATTGGTCATGAAGGAGATACCAGAGCAAACAACTTGTACCACATGCAAACATATGATTGAACTCATGATTATTCCTGTTAAATTTCAGGTCTTTATGTCTCCTCCCCTGCTAATTTGTGTAGTGCCATATCTGATGAAGAGTTCTGCAAAACTCAAGATCACACCACTGAGGCAACATTTTGTAACAGTCCAATGGTCCTAATAAATCTGGCTCTACATTTTTGTTTTTGCCGATGGGCTCCACGACCATTTTGCTTCTTTCCAAATATGTATGTTAGTATGTTGAATATTTTGCCACACTCATATAGTAATGATTTGGCCAGTGAAATTTCCTAACCAAGGCCTTATTGGCTTTAATATACCAGTTTTTTTGTATACCACTAGCTTCCAAATCACTTTTTACATCCATAACTTAGTTACTTAACTTCATTGGTCTCTTCTCAAGTCATTGTCAGTAGCCTTCTTGTCAAGTTAGCTCCAAGGCAGCTTTGTTAGTCTATTTGTTTCTCTTGTGACCCTCCTATGAACCTCCTTAGCTTCGTTTTTGTATAAATATCTCATAGCTGGTTTGTCACCATGCCCCCTGGGTTCACTGGCAGGGATAACTAGCCCCCAATTAATTTGGCTGACTCAGCAAGCTTGCTCTGTTCTTTGATCGTTACATTATCTTGTAGATTCATATATTTTCAGTGTAAGCTTTCTGAAATGGTAACAAAGGCACCCACCGCTTGTATTGGAATGTTCATGATGGAGCATTTTGACCAAATCTGGAAAACAAAAACAGTTAATTATCTGAACACCACCCAATGGTAGCAGATACATCAACAGAAGAATCAAGTATCTCTTCACACACAAAAACATTTGAAAAAGGACACGCAGCACCTCCAAATCATAATGTTTAGCACTGTGAAGAAACATCTATTAGGAACACCACTTTAAATTATTTTCTTTATTCTAACTACTCTTCCCTACTTTAGACATACAGTATGGCCTCCTCTGCCAATAAGGATGTTTGCAATAAGGGGGCATAATTCTGTTTTATGATTGTAATCATTTCTACAATTTATTCTTTTATCTTTTATCTTGGATAGACTACACATTGTGTTGTGATTCAAAATATGGAATCTGCCCTCAGCTCATACCAGGAGTATAATTATAATTAATATGAATTTAGAAACAGAGCATTCAATTTATGCTAGTTTTCTTTTCATGATTAATAGAGAGATAGTCTGCTATTAACCAGACTATTGCAAATCCATACTGCAAACACTGAGGGGAAAATATTCTGATCCTGGAGAGGCATCAATGGTATATCAGAGTCTTGGGGGAGGCCATCTGAATCCTCAGTTTCTATCTGTATCAGTCATGAAACTTCCTCAGCATCTTTTGGCTAGTCTTTTAGCCTAACCTGCTGGAGTGTTGTAAGAATAAATAGGGCAGGAAGAAAACTGTAACCACAGCCTTCACCTCCTTGGAAGAAAAGCAGGATATAATGTAAATAAATTGCCAAAAAGGGAGTCTTGGCAGTGTTTTATTTTATCATATTATTAAGGTCTCAGAGGCCTTTTTGGAAAAAAATTCTCAGCCAGAGGGCATTACCATCATTTATCGACAAGTCTACTATTCCCATGATCCGGGAGACCTGGCTTCAAATCCCAAATTGGTCATGGAAATCACTGAGTGACTTTGGACCAATCAGAGTATCTCTCCCTTATCTATATCACAAGATCGTTTTGAGGATAAAATGGGAAGGTAGGAGAAGGATGTATGCTGCATGAAGATTGTTAGAGGAAAAGTGTAATATAAATGTAAGAAACAAATAAAATGGGAAATAAAATCAGAAAGCCAGAGTGGAGGAGAACTATGGAAAGATTTATTATGCTTTGTTTATTAAGCTGACTTCATCGGAAAAGTAATAACATGCCATGTCTTGCACAATTACAGTAATATCTGCTATCTGCTGAGGATTCCCTGGCATACCATGAACCCACCTAATCACCCATTATTTCCTGGTATTTTCTTAAGAGTACGTTTATGAACTTACACATTTTCTGAAAATACACACTTGTAAGGGATTTCTAAATCATAAAAATAGCATAATTGAGTAATAAATAAGATTCACGTTTAGGTGTACAACAAGAAAACTTCATTGAGCATAGACATATCAAGATTTATATTATAATTGCATTAGGAAACAGTAGAGGTCACAGCAGAACAACACCAATGACAAACAATAATTAAACAAAGCAGGTGACTAGATATTAAAGTACATTTGCTTCAGAAATGTGTTGACTCATTGTTAACTCAAAAGAGTTGCAAACTAGTGTAGTGTAGGGCAGTGGTCCCCAACCTTGGGCCTCCAGATGTTCTTGGACTTCAACTCCCAGAAATCCTGACCAAAAGAGGTGGTGGTGAAGGCTTCTGGGAGTTGTAGTCCAAGAACATCTGGAGGCCCAAGGTTGGGGACCACTGGTGTAGGGAATAGAGTTTCAGACTATGACTCAGGAGGCTTGGGTTCAAATCCCTTCTTGGCCATGGAGACTCATTGGGTGTTGA